ACCCAGTATACTCCTTCCCTCCCCTACTGCATCTCTACTTTTTGAATTAGAACTCATCTTTTAAGACCCACCTCAAATGCTGCTTCTTCCATAACAGCTTCCTTGATCCCTTAGTGTAAAATGATCTTTCCTTCCACAGGCCTAGTATTTGCCTATCATTCCCTTATACCCCTACCAACTCCTATTCTGCATTAGAACTACTGCATTGCTATTGTACATATACTACAGAATTGCAGCTTATTATGTTATATTGCATATTTGTGAGTATGACATAGCACCCCTGCTAGATCAATCATTCAATGAAGAAACACAAAGTGCCTGCTTTGTACCAGGCACCGTGTTAGGTGTTGAGGATAGAAATTCAATAAATGAAACAATCCTTACTCACAAAGAACTGACATTTTGGGGGAAAAGACAAGTACATATATGTGGATACAGAATAAATATAGACTTATATAGAATAAGTTCCATAATGTAAGAGACCAAGTCATAATTCTTAATTATGTTTGTTTTTCCCTCAGGGCAAATCAGAGTGCCTTGCACAAAGTAGATACTGATTAAATAGCTTTTGGATTCATGCCACCATGACCATCCTCTCTCATGGATATAGTTTGATGAAAAACAGTTGCTAAAGGCACTAGGAGCAAGATTTCTAAACCTGGGGTTCTTGACTCTGTGTGTGTGTGTGTGTGTGTGTGTGTGTGTGTGTACACACCCATATACACACATATATATACATACATACATACATACACATATAAACAAATATAAATATATGTGTGTGTATATATATATATATATACACACACACACATTGTATTTCCATATAATTAGTTTTCTTTGTAAGCCTACGTATTTTATTTTATGCTTTTAAAGACATGCTGAGGAGGCCTCATAGGCTTCACTGGACTGCCAAAAGGATCCATGACAAAAAAAAATTTTATAAACTGCTGAACTAGGCGCCAAGATCTTGGTTTCTAAGCTAACAGGTGGCCCATGGGATTCTACTGAGCTGTAATTGAATATCAAACTGCATCTCTTTGATCTGCTCTAGTCATAGAGGGAGCTATTTCCATGTGGAAAACAATTAAGTGTCATGCAGAAAGAAGAGGGAAGTGCCCAGGAAGACATCTTTCCCTGACAGAGCAATTGTAGAGCATGGTCCATCATTCCTTTACAACTTAAAATTAAAGGACGTAGAGACTAGCTTTTGTGGTTTCATAAATAAGATATCTGTAAAGTGCTCAGCACAGTGCCTGGCACATAATAAGCACTTAAATGCTTGTTTCCTTTTCCTTCCATTTTTCTATAGGCACTTTTATTTCTGCTTCTTCTAGTATTCTTCCTTGTTTGCTGGATTCCAGTGTGGGATACCACTCCCCTAGTTAATTTCTAAGAAGGGTTGGTGATCATACCAAGGTGACATCAAGACTGGGGACAGGGAAATGGAAAGGAAGGGACTAAGGCTAGATACATTAACAAGAAGATACACTTGTATTGGAAAACAAGGAGGAATGAGGGAAGTGCTTTCCAAGGCCATCCTCATGAATCTTGGTTTCCTAGCTTGAATTTTACTACTGGACTTTAGTGTTAGGAATTACCCTTTTGTAGATTTCTGAGAAGCAATTAAATCATCAAAATCCTTTTCTCTGTCAAAATTGTCCTTCAGAATCACTAAACACCCCAACTCTTTTGGTTCAGATTTAACATATCACTAAAGACCTTTTGTCCTGACTTGCAGCCTGATAGTGCCAATGACACACCCATTGGCTAATGGCATTCTGGGTACAGATTTTTGCTGAACGGAGGGTTTCCTGCACTCGGCTCAGAAATGCAGAAAGATGGTTCATCATGAAAAATAATGAATCAGAAGCTGATTAAGCACCAGTCATTTCTATGTGGCTCTAACCCTCTTAAGGAGCAGCAGATTCACTTTCTTTTGAAATAATGAAGAGCTGAAAAGAGTGAGGGATTCCATTCATTCCAGTAGCATTTGCTTTTCTGCATTTCCAGTTCCCCACCTCTAACGTGGATCAGAATAAATTGTTTTTAAATTGCCTGGAGACACAGAGGAAGGAGTTATGGGCAGAATGGGTTGTAGATGCAAAGCTCCACTGGTCTTTAGTGTCATTATTTCAAAACTCAAGATTCATTCATTTCAGCTATTGCTAGCATCATGCGCAAAAAATCACCTCAGCTATACACTGGCTGATTTCCTTCACAGTGGCTAAGTGATTCAGCCATAATTCCACTTAGGGTATTTGGACATACTCTAGCAAGATCAAGAAGTAATACATAACTGGACCAGTCCTAGAAACCAAAGGCATTTGGTTTCCTAGAACAAATATTACCTGCTTCTCATGGTCCAGCTCTGTTGACCACGTCTGTGTCTCAGAGGTGTCCTGGCACCAATACTTCTATTGTTGTTCTCTCATGGGCTTTGGATGGCCTCTATTTCGGCCCATTCCCCACCAAGTGACAGGAAATAGATGCCAGAGGTGGTGGGTGAGTATTCTTTCTAAATGTGTGAGGCTGAATAAGACATTCATGAAGTTAATAGAGGTGTGAACGACAGTAATGACACACTACCAAACAACTACACTGCCAAATGTTATTTTAAAGGGGGATGAGCTTTTTCTAACATGCCACGTGGGGAAAAAATAGTAAAGCAAATGGCAAAAATAGCATTGCCACCAAAGGGCAGGGACTTTTTGTTCATCCAATGGATTTCAGCTCAGGACAGATTGTATCCTTCTCTGCCCTGGGGTACAGGCTGGAAGCAAGTGGCAAAAATGATATAATGGGATTTCTCTGGGCTTTGCAGACTATTTGAATATTTGCCAGACTGAAAAATTATATCCTAGGGCAACAAAGTGTTAATGAGAACAACTTTGAGAATATAATCTGTCCTTGTCCAAGGACCTAAAGAACTCATCAGCTTTATCTCATTCATGACACGCTACAGGGGGAAATCATCTCCCTTTCACAGATAGAAAAACTGAAGTTTGAGTAGGAAAACAATAACAACAACATCACTACACAGGGCACAGAGTCAAAATAGTTGGATTCAAGTCCTGACTCTACCAATTATCATATCACTTAGATGAATCACTTCTCTCTGAGCCTTAGTCTCTTCATAGGTATATGAAAATGGGAGTAATTCAGGGGGAATGCACCCTCTCCTCAATTTGAGCATCTCTCTCCCTAGAATATGGACATGTATATCAACATCTTGTTAAGAAGATAAATGACAATGGCCAAGTGGCTTTGGGCCACAGAATCATAGAAAGACAGATCTAAAATTGAAAGATGCCTCAGAAGTCAACAAGTAAAATCCCATTTGTTTTACAGATGAAGAAACTGCATCCCAGGGAGATTAAATGATTCACCTAAGGTCACACAAACAATGAATGACAAAGCCGGATTTGAACACTATTCTTCTGCCTCCAAGGTATGTGCTTTTTTCTCCTGGACCATAATGCCTTAAAAATCTCTTAAGTTTTCTCTCATTAGTTGACTGTGACATATTTATTCTCTGCAGCTAAATGTGATGATCTGAGAATATATTTATGAAATACTTTATTTTCACGCCCTATAAAATACATAGAACAAGCTGGTTGGGTGCAAAAGGAACCTTTAACTATTTTTCTCAAATCCCCTTACACCACTTAGTTATGAACAACAATCAGTTTGGCCATTTTTCAGCACTCAAAGGACTTAACAACAGGTGAGCAAAAACTAATCAAATAAACTACTTGTCAATCAAGGCTTAACCAAAAGCTTCCTAGAAGTCACCTCAACTCAGGAGATGGGAAGAATGTGCAATGTTGGCTCTCACTTAAACTGGTAGTGAGCATCTCATAAATTTACCAAAAGAATTATTACTTCCCTGCTCAGAAACTTCTAATGATTCCCTGTTGCCTAATAAATAAAATTTAAACACCTCTGCCTGGCATTCAAGGCCCTTTATAATCTGGCTTCCCCTACACATCCTATTACTTCCCAACACAAAGTCTCCACTCTGGGTGGTATGTGTCTTCAATGGTCACTTTTCCCTTTCCTCCCTGCTACCTTCCCCTCCAAAAAGGCACATTCCATTTTAAGTTCTGGGATCTGGGTTTCAGAAGGATATTAAAAAGCTGATGTGTCCAGAGAAGAGCAACCAGGATGGTAATGGGCACTGAGTTCATAAGAGAGGAGGATTGGTTGAAGGAAATGGGTATATTAAGCCTGGAGAAAAGAATGAATGAGGGGGGCAAGATGACTGTATGCAAGGATTTGAAAGGCTGATGTGGAGGATGGATTAGATCTGGCCAATGAGGGCAGAACCAGGAGAAACAGATGAAAGCTGTCAAGAGGCAAATGTAGGCTTGATGTCAGGAAGAACTTCCCAATCATGAGTTCCCCCTCCTTGGAGGTCTTTAAGAAGCAGCTGTACAACCAATTATCAGGCATATTAATTATAAGGGGTGTTCCTTGAGTGACAGCTGAGGTCTCTTCCAATTTTCAAAATTGGTGATTTTGTAATTTATGCACATTGTCCTCCCTACCTAAAATGCCCTCTCCTCTTCTTTGTTAATACTGATATACTATATACCCTTTATGGCCCGGCTCAAGGCTCCCCCAGGAAGACCTTCTTGATCGTTCCAGTCCACATTGATCCTTTCCCTCTTCTGAACTTCTACCATGTTTGTAACATCCAATGAACACTTGTTAAATTATCACGAGTTAAGAGGCAGAAGGAGAAATAGCCTTGAGTGGCAAGGGGACGGATAGCTCAGTGACCTCTTCCTTACAACTAAAGACTTCGTCATAATGGATGTAATTGTCATCTATAAACCTCTGGAGCTCTCATAGAAAGTCACTCCCTAGAAATAACATTCTAGAGGCTTTCCACAGCACACAGGAAGAAGAAAGGCCTGACCCCAAATTCAAGAATAATTAGAAACAAATTCATAAATATGGCCATTGGATGAGCTTCTAACACAAGGCTGGCTTACCTTGGTTTCTCTGAGAAGAAATTGTAAATCTCGTCCACTGAGGATTCCATGATTCTTCACATAGCTGGGCATGTGGTTAGTGCTAGACCCATAGACAGTTGCATGTACTTCCATGTACGTGTGAATGATGTCCAAGTACTCTTTCTTATTCTAGAGAACACAAATACACATTATATGTTATTTTAGTTTTGCACTCTATTAATATGGGTCATAATTTACTATAAAGGAAAAAAAAAAGCAACCTTATCTTCGAAGAGCCAGAGACTGTGGAACTCACTGCTTTTAACTTTACAGTAATTTAGAAATAATACTGATAATAATAAAATCTAAGATTCATATAGTATTTTAAGGTTTGCAAAGACCTTTACAAATCCAAGTCCTAAGTTTTTTTTTTCTTTTAAAAATTCTGGCTTGGGTACTGAATGCCAAAAGAGTCATATAGTAGTTATACAGTTCTGCAAAGGAAAAAAAAATGTTATGCAGCAGCAGTAGTAACTTGCTACTGAATACCAAATGAATGGCTTATGGCAAGTTGTTTTTGAAGTAACATCCTGGTTTTGTGATTACCAAGAACTCAACACATCAGTTTTGGCTCTTCCTCATTGTGGGGGAGGAAGTTTGGGGAAGAGAAAGGAAAGCCCTGAAAACTCAGTCTGCCTGGAATAGACATTTGGAGATGCCAAGGAGTCCTTGTGGAAAGCAAGCACCCAGTCCCTGCCAATCTATCCTTTGATGAATGGCTCAGTTCCTCTTGTCAAAAAGGCAGCCTGCCTATTAAGGAGACCTAGTGATCCTGGACAATACCTATTTATTAACCAAGGTAATGTAGAGATAATTACAACACTCAAGTAAGAAAAAAGGAGAAAAATTAAGCAAGCACATTTCTTTTAATGCTTAAATGTAGCACTCTGTTATATAAAGTTATAGAAGCAATTGACATATGTATGCATTTTGTGTCTAAATGTATGTGTATATATACATATATCTATACATACACACATACACACACTATACACACACAATACAAAAATAGCATGCCTAAAAATACATGAAATGTGTATGTTTATACATATTTAATATATAAACATGGGTACATGTATATGTGTGCGTATCATGTGTTTGTAGGCACTATATTTTGAGAATGATTTTATAAGTCAAAATTTTCTGTGGGTGGGACTTTACCGTTTTCCTCCTTGAGCACTTAACGTTTGCTTGGTACTTGCCAAATCTACTGCTTGAGCTTGATATTCTCCCCTATCTCTTCATTTTATAAAGGTGCAAGCCTTATAATGGTTTGCTGTTCCATAAAAAATGGAAGGCAAATTTTCTTTCTGAGCCTGGTCCCCAAGCCCTCAAGTCAAACACAAGAATAGCAGGTTTTGGGAGAGGAAACAAGAAGGGCTGAGGGAGCTTTCAAGATCAGTGTTGTGAATGCCTCTATTAGATTGTGAGCTCCCTGAAGGGAAGAACCGTCCTTTGCCTCTTTTTGAGTCCACAGCACTTAGCACAGTGCCTGGCACATAGGAGGTACTTAATAAATGTTTATTGATTGGTTGTTAAAGGGCGTAAAAACCCCAGACAAGAAGAGGAAAATGTGATTCTTCTCCTGAGGTGGCAGTTAAGATTCAAGGTGAAGCTAGTTGGACCCTCACTGTTTAGAGAGGAATGACCAGTTGACTTTCAAGGCAGAAGGGTAGACAGCTGACCTCTCAAGGTATCTTTCATTCCATATCATCCCAAGTCCTTCTAGAACAAACTGGTTATGAATAGAATATGGCTATTCTTCTGAAAGTGAGAGAAAAAAAAAAACCAACCCAGACACTCAGGTGTCCAAAGGCAATACATGCAGAGTGTGGATCTGTCCATGGATTATATTTGTCCCAAACTCTCCACCCTAACCACCCACAAACCCAAAATAACCAAAAGCAGTCCAGGAGACCATTAGTATCCATGTGACTGGACAGCAGAGAGTCACTTTCACACTCCTGAATGTTCTTCCCACAACCCCACCTACTCCATTGTGTTTTATAGAATCAAAATTTAGTTCCACTCTTAAGGAAACTGAAATCTAGTGCTTTTCCCATGGACTCAAGCCTGGTTAATGGCAGAATCAGCACTAGCTGTCACATCTCTTTGCTTCCAGTCCAGTGCCCTATTATATTAATCTATCTTTGGACAGCCAAGTTACACAGTGGATAGAGCACTAGACTTGAGTGGTAAAGCCCTGAGTTCAAATCAAGGTTCAGACATTTCTCAGCTGTGTGATATCCAGGCCAAGTCACTTAACCCCTTTCAGCCTCAGTTTCCTTGTCTGTAAAATGTGGTTCATAATAGCACTTCTCACTCAGGGTTGTTCTGAGGATCAGATAAATGTAAAATGCTTTACATACCTGAACATGCTATATAAATAAGTGCTAGCTATTATCATGATGTTCAAATAGGAAAAATCACATATGAACATTAGCCTCTGATAGAAAAAAAATGGTCATTTAAAAATGTCTCAAAAGTACTACAGGATAGAAAAAAGAAATGTAATTCACAACTTCTCTCATGTCATGTTCTATAAACAGTGAGCAAAATGATGTAAAGGAAAATGATGCTATTAGACATCAGAATTTAGATCAATGAAAGTGACCAATTTTGGCTCCAAAGGACTGATTATGAAACCTCCCTCCCTCTTCTCAGCAGAGGCTACAAGTGAGGAATAAAGCATATGCTGTCAGATATGGTGAACATGTTGTTTTGTTTTGCTTAAATCTGCTTCTTTGTTATAAGAAAGGGTTCTGTTGGTGGGGTGGTATTAGGAAAAGACAGTCATTTTAAAAAGGCATCAATACGGTATTTTAAAAATAGAACTGTAGTTTTATTACAGAGAACCATGGAGAAATTAGGGCTATATATAATTCCATTAATTTATATAAATTTATGCCAAATTCATATTGAATAAAAGTGACATTTAAAACCTTCTTTTATTCATATGCAAACTCCTCCTAGTCCCCAGAAATCCTGAATAGCAAAGCTTCCACTAACAGCTCTGAGGACTAATGACTTAAAAAAGCCTCCAAGATTGTCTTGGTATTTCTATAGTCAGTGTAATTTAAAGAGGCAGTTCTTCCTCGAGAGCTGGCTTTGTGCAGTTAATCTTTACATTAATATGGTGCTGCTGATTTGATCTTCCAGGTTACACTGCACTTTCCTTCTTCAGCCCTGACTCCCATTAGTAGGGCCAAAGCTTAAGATTTTATACTGGATGATAACTTCCATTTTACATTATAATATGTTTCTTCTTTGGTGTGGGGCAGGGAGAATAGGGAGGGTTTGTGTGCTGGGTAGGTGGAGCCAGCCAGGGGGTGGGAGGCTTTGGCGGTAACTCTCTCCATAAATGAGCCAAGCTCATATTCCTGAAAGCCACCTTTCAGGGGCATGCTTTCTGCTAACTGCACCTTAAGAATATGTTTTTACTGTGAAGTTCCAGAATATTCTCTAGTCCAAGAGACAGAGAGTTAGCACTGTAATGTGAAAACAGCATCGGGTTAGGAGTTAGAACACTTGTTTTCTAGATCAGATTACCACTAACTCACTGGGTTAAATCATTGCCTCTTTCATCTCTCGCCTCTTTTTGAATCCCCAGCTTAGCACAGTGCCTGGCACATAGTAGGCACTTAATAAATGTTTATTGATTGACTGATCATTATTCCTCTGAGCCTCAGTTTCACTTGAGTAATGAGAGGGTATGATGCTAGCTGATCTCTAAGACCCCCCTTCTAGATCTACAAAGCTAGTATTTTAGCTACCCAGTCCTCCAACTTGTTCCCAAAGTGAAGCCAAGAGGCTCTTTCACTGAGGATTAGAGAAAAACATGTACTGACAAAACAGCAGAAACATAAAATTTAAGACAGGAGGGGGCAGAAGCAGGGTTCTCTTGGATGCCAAGAGTTTCCTTTTTTTTTTTGTCCCCAGCTCAATTTAAATTCTCATTAAAAACAACCATTAAAATTTAAATCGATGAAAGCAGGAAAGGTACATTTCCAGATTTAAACAAATAAGGCTAAGGAAAAGGTGAGAACTTAGTACAGGAACACAGCCTCTGCTGCTTCATTCTTTCTTTAGCTGTTTATGATTATAGCTTGAGGCAAGTACATTTGCAACACTGGTAGTAAGATATTCAGTGCTGGAATTGAGAGCTTTAGGAAAACAACATAATATGAAATATCACTGGTGTGAGGAGAAGGTGGGGGGGAAGTGGGAGAATGTAAAATGAATAGCTCTTTTCTCATTTCTTCATTCACTCAAGCTTTTTATATTAAGAATTTCATTTGTGAATGCTACTTTTATACGCATTTAGAAACATTCAGTTTTTTAATCTGCTTATATTATACATCTCACTAGATTTGGAGTCAGAGGACCTGGATTTGAGTCTTAGTTCTACTAATCATTGCATGGAATGAACTCAGGACAAGTTATTTCTCTGGGCTTCAGTTTCTACCTCTGTAAAATTGGGAATTGTACTAGATAATCTCCTGAGATTTCTTCCAACTTGAAATCCTTTGAGCCTATGATCTCTGCACATTTTTAAGTGCATAGGGAGTGCTCTACTGCTGGGATCTATTCAAGGACCAAAATGAACCATGTCTCTGAGTATCCATCTGGTCTTCCCCCATGGTCATGAGAAATCTCTGTGGATGTAAACTTCATAGCACTCAATACTTTATCATAACCCAATGATATTCAAGTTCCCCCTAATAAATATATATCCTGGGATGGCAGCCTTCTTATATCTGTGAAGGACCATCAGATGGAAAAGAGATCTGACTTATTCTGACTGACTCAAGAGCGTATCATTTTGAAGCCGGAAAGGATGGTGAGGATCCATCCAGTTCAGCCTTCTCATTTTATATACAAGGAACTGAGACTTGGAGAGGTGATGCTGCTTGACAAGGTGACAGAGCTGGTTAGCAGCAGGGCCATAGTTAGAACTCATGTGTTCTGACTGCTAGACAAATGCTCTAATACACTATTATTTCTCAAGCTATTCTGCTGGACTTTGGTGGTCCTTATGATGTGAAAAGGTATTTCACGAGTAATCTTTAATACTAGAGATTTTTCTTCTTCTAATATTTTAATGAAATTAGATATTAAAAGGAGAAGAG